ATTGTTTCCTGCGGGTTTAAAGAGAATTACCCAGCAGCACAAAGTGTATTCCCATGTTACGTCGTCACGCATGGCTGTAGTAAATAGGAAGTAGAGACTTTAATCTAGCACTGACCACGGGTCAGATAATGGATGTAAGTTTTAATGAAATATACATGTACACCCATAATGGGAACATCCTGGAAGACGTTGACAGTTTCGGCTGATAAGTCATGTGAAGTTAAAGTGAACTACGTCAGAGCTGATTTTAAAGTGTTTCATCTCCTTTGTGCATTAATCCTGTTTGACAAAAAACAAAAATCACCTCAAGTGAGTCAAAAATGAGACTTTATGGGAGTTTATTTAAATTTTTCTGTTTTTTTTATCAAGCTTTACTGATGCGATACCTCAAAATGGGCTTTAGAAATGGCTAATGGAAAACACCTAATGGTTGCTATCATCGCGGTTAAAATTCAGCACACCTCTTTAGGGTTGACGTCGATACAGAGGAAGGGCCAAAACCACACTGATTGGATTTACTGATTAAAATAATGAATCCAACAAAAAAACAAAAGGATTTTATGACTGTGTTTAGCTGAAGCCCAACATTATTATTATTTTTTTTTCTCTTGTTCTCTTTCCTATTGAAAGCGACTTCTGACGGCATCCTTCTTGCAGCTTAATGCAGTACGTTCAGCTGTATTGTATTTCCCTTTAGCTGAATGTTGTCCAGCCTGGGAAGCCATGACTTAGTTTTAAAGCTTCTCTGTTGCTCCGTTTGTCCTCAGTAGGGTCGAGGCTTTAGATATGTTGAAGATAAGAGGATAGGAAGCTGACAAATGAAGATAAGATTGTTTGGAGTGTCTGCTTTGGGAGAAAAGAAAAAGACTTAATGCTTCTTTCTTTTAGAAATCGACAACGAGGGAGTGATTGAGCCAGACACAGATGAGCCGCAGGAGATGGGAGAGTTTGAAAACGCGGAGGTGAAATGTTTCTCCTGTACCAATGAAGAGGTTTAAGTGAAAGCTCAGCAGTTCAGTCAGACAAAGGCTGGAGATGAATCATTTCAATTTGTTTTTATAGATTACAGAGGAGATGATGGACCAGGCCAATGAAAAGAAGACTGAGGCTATCAACGCTCTTGGAGAAGGTTGCAACTCAGATCCAAGAGTGATCTATTTATTTAAAAAATAAAATAAAATAAAAAGCAATCTTCAGGACTAGAAGGGATTGTCTTCATTAACCTTTTCTTTCCTTATATCCTAGGTGATCTTCAGAAAGCTTTGGATCTTTTCACAGAAGCCATCAAGCTGAACCCTCGTGTTGCCATTCTTTATGCCAAGAGGGCGAGGTGAGCATGTTGGATTGCTTTTAAATGGACCTTCCTACCTCAAACATAAAACGGCTGTTTAAAATGTTCCTGTCTCTGTGTTAGTGTGTACATTAAGATGCAGAAACCCAACGCGGCCATCAGAGACTGCAACAGAGCCATCAGCATCAACCCAGACTCTGCACAGCCCTACAAGTGGAGGGGCAAAGCACACAGGTACTAGAATAAAACCCGATAATAGAAATGTTTGTCTCCTCCAAAGGGGAGGATGTTCAGTTTTAATTTTACAACCTCTTACTCCTTGCACAAAGTAAACATCCCTTAAAACTCAATGCATGAAGGATAAAGGTTGTATCATGTTGAAATGTGCAGCAGTTTGCTTGTTTTACTTCATGCGTGTTTCTTTGCAGGCTGCTTGGTCACTGGGAGGAGGCAGCCAAAGACCTGGCCATGGCCTGTAAGCTGGACTACGACGAGGACGCCAGCGCGCTGCTAAAGGAAGTCCAGCCCAAGGTACCAGATTGGGGAAGCATAGATGCTCTGCAACTTTAAGATGGGATTTTAAAGTATAAATGGTTTAAATTGTTCACTTTACTGTCGTTTATCAGGCTAATAAAATTCTGGAGCACAGACGCAAATATGAGCGGAAGAGGGAAGAGAAGGAGATTAAACAGAAACAGGAGCGCATAAAGAAAGCCAGAGAGGAGCACGCACGAGCACAGAGGGTGAGTCTCCCACTTTCTTGGAGATTTTAAATCCAATCTGATCAATTTGCCTCACTTTTTTTTTTTTTTTTTGGGGTCATGGCAGGAAGAGGAAACCCGACAGTTTGGAGGAGGATTCTTCCCAGGTACGAGTGGCAGCATTTCCTTTCTGCTACGCACTGCATGGAGTTATTAACAAGTTGATCATTGAAGTCCTACTCATGTTTGATAAGAGGGTTGTGTTTAGATTTGTTTTCAGAAGAAACACAGGTTATTTATTTTAGACAATTGATTCTGTTCACCATAGTAACCATTTGGATCTGTTCTACAGGAGCTGCTGGATTCCCGGGGGGGGTCCCTGCTGGTATGCCCGGTCTGGGTGATTTCCTCTCAGATCCCGAGGTTCTCAACGCCATGAAGGTGACTCTCAAATTAACAATAATCCCTCATGTTAAACCACCTTTCATTATTTTTTTATAGATGCTCAGCTTCAAATATGGAGTTTCTTTTTATTCAATAAGTCTGGAGGAACCAAAATGCTAATGTCAAAAATGTTTGGTTTATATATGGATCGTTCTGTTCATGCATGTTTTTACGACTCAATCAGCTTTATTCATCAAACAAAACAGTTAATATTATAAGAGCTGGATTAAATAAATGTACTAACTTATTATATACATGCACTGCAGACTTGAACCAAAGGCTGACAGGAAATAGGAGTATATTTTCTCACAAGACAACATTAACTCACCATGGGGGGAAAACAAGTGGGTAGAGGAGCGTCTATAGAAATTATAGCAACATAAGTTATTTCAGTAATTAGATTAAACATTTTAAATATCAAAAATGTATTTGAGATACTTAATTATTTCCATTCTGATCATGAAGACTTACAGTTGATTAAAATGCCAAATCACAGAGAATGCTCAAGTATTCCATTAAAACAACAAACCTTGTTCCAGAAATGAGTTTACTGAACAGAATATTCATTTATTACTGGAGTGGGGCTCCTTTTGCTTGAATTACTGCCTAAATGATCAGCCAGCGGTTCTGTTGAGGGTTTAAGCTAGCCCAAGATGCTTCTGCATTGACTCTGTATTCACCAGGAATGTCCAAGTCCCGTCATAAAGAGCTACTAACCTCAAACTTTTAAATGCATCTGAACACACCTGGATCAAATGGCTGAATTCCCAACATTGCGCTGTCATTCAGCAATGGCCTGGTAACGAGACAATTTTTGTTTCAGCTGAGGTGGAAAAGGGATGCATCTACACGTAATAGGATAGTAGCTCCTTAGGACTGAAGATAAGGACCTTTTTATTATAATTAATTAACCTGATAGGACAGATGCTTGGAATAAATTACTGCAGTGTTTCCCACAGGATTTTAGAAAAGTCTCTGACCCTCGGGGGTTTTCATGTGTGCACATTTTTAAGTGTGTTTGTATCCCACTTAAAGGGGAATGCTGTTTTTTTTTTAAACATTGGGTCCATTATTTTAGCTATGACATCCTGTTCTACTCACCCATATGGGGTTGTTTCATTTGGAGCCGTTCTGAAGATTTTCCGTTGGGTTACACCAAGTGCTTGGAGTGGGTCCCGCCTGGGGAGTAGAACCGTCACTGACCATCTCTCTTTCTCCGTCTATATAAGACTGCGGCGGGCCCAAACTCGTTCATTAATGGGGAAACGCTGTTACTGTTTAAGAGTTTCACTGAATTACAGGAATAGTTTGTCTTTTTACAGCAGGTTGAATTATTAAGATGTTATTTTATGTCAGTCAGATTTGTTTCTAAGGGTCTGTTTTAAGCTGATTGTCTGTGTTTCTGATCCAAATCCAGGACCCTGAGGTCATGGCTGCATTCCAGGATGTTGCCCAGAACCCGGCCAACATCTCCAAGTATCAAAACAACCCCAAAATCATGGCTCTGGTCACCAAGCTGAGTTCCAAGTTCGGAGCCCCCCCGCAGCCGTAGGCGGGAAGGAGACCAGAACCGAGTGGTGGGAGGATCCAGAGAGCGCCGCTTTTCAACAATTGTTCACTGTGTTTAGTTCAGAGTGGGGGGGTGATGTCAAACTGGTGCGATGTCACAGAAAAAAAAAAAAAACCTGTTGAGCAACTTTTTTGCGATGTTCTTACTCAGCCTGTTAGCACTTCACTGAACCAGTTAATGAGGGGGGGTTCAGATTCTTGGGCCACCTCTCAGACGGGACTTTTCTTAACCTCTGTCGCTGGAACGGCTGATATGAAGCCGCCTGCATTAAGACTCTAGTGTTTCCTACAAACATTTAAATACATTGTCCAGTTTTTGGTTTTGTTTTTTTCCCTCTGGTTTTCTCTGAACTCTGTCTTAGATCACTCACACAGCTGTCGGTGTGCTTTATCTGATCTGTTGAAGCTAAAGAAAGTACTAATGTTAATGTTTTAACCTGCTGGAAAAAAACGTTCAAAATAAAAAATGACCCTTGATTTAAAACAGGTTTTATTATAACTTCAGCTTGTATTTTATTCTAATTTAATGTGTATATCCATTTTTTTTTCTTTCCTTATTTGGCCCTTGATTCCCTTGGTTTTTACAGGGTCGATTCCAGTGGACCAGACGACTGGAAGTGATGAAGCAGAGTTTTTTTTTTTCTCCAGCGAAATGGAGAGAAAATGGTTTGATGGGATTGATCTGAAGTTATTACATAGTCGTTAATGATTGTAATAAAATATAAAGGAGCGAATTTAGCTGATGAGCAACTCTTTCCCCTTTGTTTTTAGCATCAATTTCTAGGATTTTGGTTTCAAACTTCTTTGCTTAAAATAATGAGAATTGTTTACATTAATCAAATCTTTAAAGAAAATTAAAAACTGAGTATTTTAGTGAAAGAAGCTACCTGGGTTTGCAGCATCTCAGCCTGGTTGACCAATGGAGATTCAGAAATTTAAAATTATCAGCTACATTTGAGCTGCTGGCTTTATGAAACAGGACACACCTTAAGATAATTTACTACTTTCTCCATAATAATCATGGTTTTTTCTATTAAAGGAAAAATTTGACATGCCCTCAGAGGTGGACTGCTGTTTTTAAGACTAAACTTTTATGGAATAATGGAGCAGATTAGAAATCATTTCATTTAAAACTTTAGAAAAGTCAGACTTGGTTGTTAAATTCGGATCCAACTTAGGCTCCATAAGTCTCGATTGGTATAAGCCGCAAATTCAAGCCTGGTTCAACTAATGTGTTTTGCCTTTCACAAAAGCAAATGATGCAGTCGATCATATTTCATTGCGAAAAAGGAACTTGCAGTATATTATTTCATTCAAATATAAAATGCAATTCCTGTAACTATCAATAAGAGCAGAAAGGGATGTTGGGACATTGCTGAGATTAAATGTGCAATTTGTCACTTTTTTTCATATTTCAAAGTGATATATCCAAATGTAATGTGATATCTAACTGGTGTCTATTCGGTCATTTAAAAAAGGCTTCCATTTTCAATAAAAAAAGGGAATTATTTGAATGAAAATGAAGTCTAATACTTATGTCCCAGTTTGAGATAGTTTCTGTCTGAATATCTAAGTCACAGTTTTATTCTTGAACTGCTTTTAATTAAAGTAGTCTCATTTTAGCCAAAATCTTGCATGGATTAAAGAAATGATAAAATATACTAATCTAAGGAATTAAAACTTTCCACATTTAACCCTTTCAGTAACCTCAGCAGTGGAACACCAACCTTGTAAAGGGTGAAAAAGAACAAAAAGCTCCTTTAAAAATGATTGCTCTGATTAAACTGTCTTTATGTCAACATAAAGACCAGATTTTTACATTGAACTGTATTCATATATTCATGACTTTACACTGGCAGAAATGCACAGGCTTCTGCACAGTGTGTGGCGAACAGAAGAGTTTTCTGTTGGAACGATGAGGTCGAGTTCAAGTAGTTAAGGAAAGGAACCTTGTCTGGAAATTGAATGGAAACATTCATGCATGTGAGTCAAGGATGACGAAATGCTGTCTAACCACCACCTCCAAATTTCCTTTCAGGAAGCAAAACATAAAATTCAGATTTTTTTTTTTAATCCATGATTTATATATTCCATAATTGTGAAGGAATATATATATATCTGTATAATATTTAGTATTAATTTAATTTTGTGACATGTAGCTGGCACTAAAACCCTTTCTGTCCTGACTGTGGCCTCTGGTGCTGGATTCGACAAAGACACAGTTTGAACTCAGTCGGCTCTAAACCTGGAAACTAACCAGGTTAAGTTTACCGGCTCTGTTGTCATAGTAACCGACAGAGTCAGACTTATAGAAGCCAGACTTGTTCAACTAAGTCTGACTTGAAAATAAGCCAGTTTAATTAAACAACCCTCTATTGTCATTTTCTGTGTTATTGTTTCTGCACAAACAGATCCTTCTTTTCCTGGCATTCATAGGATCTGTTAATAGCAACTGAATTCAATATTAGATGGTATTTTTAAGTAAATGAGTTCAAAATCAGCGGAACTAATGTTGGTGTTACATTTTAAACAATATAGTTGTATTAATTAAGAAAAATCTGTTTAACTGCAGCCAGTAATGTTGATTCCGGCCCTTAGTTTTTAAAATTGGCCGATATATTTTGTAATATGGAAGGACTGGCGAGATCTTCCCCAGATATCTCTGAATAGGTGCCCATGTGCTTACAGTATCTCCCTATTAAAGTCTAGTGTGCAATGAGAGACTAGATTCCAACAATCTGTCTAGTGTGCAGGTTTACCAGCGGCAGCAACATGCTGCGAGGTGAGCTCTAAACTAGAGAGCTCATTTTTTTAAAATGTCCAAGCATTTATTAAGTCCATTCTGGCTCCACTTTATTACACATAGCAAGTCTGCAGTCTTTTTATTTTTTCACTAAATGCAGACAAATCAAAGTACCAGATGTTATATAAATCTTTTTAAAACAAAGGGTGGGCCAGGACATAACTAAGAAACCCAAATCAAGAATCATCTGGCTTTCTTCCATAGGATTACTGCTCTGTAACACAGTGAGCCCTCTGGACGCTCTGAGCCTTTATCCATCGCAATGCGATTCATAAACCAACTCATAAACAAGCCGTACCTGTTTGTGATAACATTACTCTTTATTCATGTACTCACAACATCCCAAAAACAAATAAGTGTAAAACAACGTCTAGTATTATAAGCAAAGGAGGGGGGTATGAAGACAGAGAGGCCGGTGTTTGCAGAAGCCATCGATCGAGTCTAGAATAAAACAGCTAGTGTCCGTATCTGTGAAGACATGATGGAGACAGAGAGTCAGTACAGCTGTTAGAGGAAAATCTACACCTAGCAACTCATCATACTCACTTCTGAAACTCCCACTCTCTGTTGTCCAGAGGACACACCTGTCTGGTTTTCAGCCAACGGGAAATACAGTGAAAATGAAAGGCGTGCTGTGGAAGGAAAAAGGAATCGAGTTAAAAAACAAAATGGAAGTAAAATGATATTAGCAACTTATTGGGAGACGTATGTTATGTTTCTATTTTTTAACGTAGCCCTAAAATCAAAGGTTTGAATCATGAGCTCAAATGTTTAACAGCCAATTAAAAATAATGTCAATAAAAAAGTTCATAAAATGGAATATTCTGCTTAGATAATTTTATCAGATAAATTAAATTATTATTTCAAATTCGAACTACACTGTGTTTTATTTTATAATTGTTACTTTTTTTGCCTGATGTTTACCCAAATGATAATAGTTTCTAATCTTTAGCATTTTTAAGAGCAGATGATTTAAAAAATCACGTATATTTCCAGAAAAGCAGCAAAGGAATTTCAAAAACAACTAAGCCGCTTTAAATGAAATCACTCAAAATTTTGAGATTAGGAAAAAAAAAAAAAAAAGATCTTGAAAAATGTCAGAGTTAAAGCTCACATTGCAGACGCCCCAGGCCACGGTGCACTCTTCCGATGTGGCAGAAGCCTGGTTGGCCTGGCACTCTATACCTGAAGGAGAAGTTTTAAAAATCATCAATCGACAGCATGCAGAGACAACAAAATCATTTGCTCTTTAAAAAGTGGGCAAAGGTTTATGATGTAACACAGCAGACAAGTAAGCCTCAGATTCCACATCCTCTGTCACCGCTCTGCTCACGTACGTCTTCTTTATCCTATACCGTCAAAATACGGAGCTAAGCCAGTCACGTTAAGATCCACAATTGCAATCGAACCAAACAGGAAAAATAATGTCAAGAAGAACCAGTTTGTCAAATTAAAATATAGTAACAATAGATCGATGAATACAAATTAGAGCACAATTCTTATATATTCCCAAAAACTAAGACCATTTAATTAAATTATTGGATGCAAACTATTGGTACTTTAACATACCCGGAGGCAGGTTTCTCATTTCAATCAAAATATTTACAAACAAACTTCCTATCACAGGTGTGGGTGAAGAGATAATGAGTTTGGAAGTAGAGAACAAACATAGTTCACTCAAGCCAATTTTGTATGATCCTTGTTATCCCAGATACAAAAAAATAAATAAATATTTAGGCAGAAACTGTAAATATTCTTGATGATGGGGATTTTTTTCAATATTTCATTTTACATTTTAAAGTGTTAATTTCTGCTTGTTTTGCTCCTATGAATTTAACAATAATATCGTGCATGCTCTCCTTTTGCCTCGTGGAAGTCAGAGTGGAGGCAGATGGGAGGGAAAGCCGAGGCTGTATGCTTTGCTTTGCACAGGCGGTCTGGAGCGGAGCGGAACAGAACAGGGCGGTTATGTAGGATGTGGATTTCAGTGTGAGAACTCACAGAGGTCCATGATGTGGTTCCTACAGATGGCACAGTTATCCACCACTATGTCCCAGGCCCACAGCGCAACAGCATTCCACTGGGGAGGAAAACAAACAGGAAAAATTATCAACATGGCCTGAAGCGTGCTGTCTGGTGGGCAACAATAGCCTTAAAGTATATGGAGATTTATATCTCAAAACACCTGGTAGTAGAGGGCAAAGATTAAACATTAGGTAGCCTGTGAACATATAGTTCTGAAATGAATGTGATAAGTTCTGTAGTTCTTGCAGGGCATTTTTAGCCTGCAAGGGTTTACGATAAAGGTCGACTGATAGATGTTTTTTCTTTAGGCCAATGCTGATTATTTTGACATAAGTATAACCTTTGTACAGCTGATTTTTGTTTTCTCTTCCTTCCTTCATTTATAAAATAAAAATGACACAATGATAACAAATAGAAGCATTTATTAAAAAATCGTAGAAAACATTAACGGATAGCGTATGAGTGAGTGGCAATGCATGTGCCTTACATGATCTAAAGGCATGTACGCCTGGGCTGATAATGATAGGAAAAAAAAACAAAACACAAATATCACCCAAAAATAACTAGTCATTAACTGTCATAAGTGGTTCCCAGGAAGAGACGGTAGTGTCGAGGAAACACAAATTTGCTCCCCATCTGTCTTCTATTGAGCGTTTGATCCAAGGGGTTAATGAAAGACCAAAACATCCACCAACCGATATTTTTCGCTGATATTAGCGATATATGTTGTTTAGATTGAGACTTGTATAACAGTTAAAATTGAGGAAGAAAAGCAAATATCGGCTAAAAAATATTGGCAAAATATGTCAGGGATCAGTTAAAATGCTGTCAAAATAATTCATATCAACCTTAAAAGACCTAGATGACTCAATCTCTCCAAGGGATAGTCAGAGCAGTCCAATTCATCAGACTTTGGATACATTAAATAACTTGTTGTTTGGTCCGCAGTATTTCAATATCTGACTACTTGTGTTTACCCCACGTCCTTGAACCATGAAGTCAGAAATTCATAAAGAGTGATGCTTTACAAGGCCTAAATAATCCACTGCTAACATCATGATGCTTGATCCCACAGCACACCTTCTAATAAAGTCCATCCTACAATGAGGCAGGGCTGATCTGGCAGCAAAACTAGGCAGGTGGTCATTATGTTATGCTTGACCAGTGTATGAAATAAGAAAATGGGAGCAGATTATGTTTGTCACCTAAAAATCTTAACATAATTAAAAGATGAAAATGTATTTTGTCTTTAATCAAGTGACGACAACAATGCAGGGCTGATTGTGTTAGAATGAAAGTGAGTTCTCTGTATATTAAGATGGGGATTAAGAAGTAATCCGTCTGATTCGTTTGAAAATAAGCCAAGATGACATTGCAAAACCAAAATACATACATAAAAAACACAAATTAAGAGTACAACTAATTCGTTTTGTGAAATTTCGCCTGTTGAAGCTAACTGAGTAAGCTAATTTAGCATATGGGGAAGCATTAATTGTCTTAAAACAAGGGCGGCTTATCTTTTTCCACTAAAAATAGTTAGTATCATACAACTAATAAAGACATTTGACCTCTTTTATTTAAAGCTGATTCGAGGCTTTTTGTTGCTAGTATGACGCATGCAAATCCCCAATGGGACATGCTAATAGTTTAGTAGCTAACGTTAGCTGTATTAAAAGGGCTTAATCTGGGTTTAGCGTTAAACTGTAACTAACAGCATCATGTCGACATTTACGAAATACAATTTGACCGCTCTACTTCACACAAAGATACCTTTTTGACTTCAAATCGCTTCTTGCTCGCTCCACTGTTAGCACCGCTCGGTGTGTCAACATCCATAGCTGCTGCCATCTTGGATAATCAGGGTAGCTTAGCTTAAGTTGTTCACCCGGAAGGAGCAGCAATTTCCGTTAACATGTTTCCAAATGAAGTATTCGGTGTGAAAATGTTGCCACAGTAAGGTTAAGTGAATGGACTATGCCATTTAAAAGATTTGACATAATTTAATGTATTCTTTATATATAAAGGCTTATTTTAGAGAAGAAAAAAACATTTAGGTTCCACCGAGATTTGAACTCGGATCGCTGGATTCAGAGTCCAGAGTGCTAACCATTACACCATGGAACCCCATGACTACGCAGCGCACAAAAAGCGATTTACATAACTGGTAAGCGGTAGCGTACCTCTGACCCGAGTGATAATAATCCTTTATAGTTGCAGGATTTGCAGATAATCTTGCTTACAACTGCGATGTTGGTGTCTTTTTGACTGTTTTCTTATTGGGTAGACTCATTTTCTTTCATCATCACTTTCTTTTTGACTTGAAAGATTGTAAAAGTTTGGTTTGCACTACAGGTGAACATGAAGTGGTATTTGTTGGTTTATCTAATTGTCTGCCTTTGTATGTATTTGTAGATTTTGCAATTCTGGTAAACAGAAAAAAAATGTCCAGTGCCTAAAAAATCTGCCTACATTGGCAAGACAATAAGGTACAGGTTTTATAACAACAACCTGACTGTAAATAATTTGCTTTTACAGTCCTCTTCAACATGTGTTTTATTGTTGCCAATTTACCTTACATTTAAGCTGTTCATTTGTTTGTTTTCCCTACAAATACGGTTCAAACCATTTGCTGTCTTGGTATAAAATACAAGTATACACATTTTATCCCTATAAAAGCTGAATACAAAGGAAACAAAAATCAGAAAAAAACACAAACATACAAAAAGGGACAAAACTGAGCTTTAAGAATAAAACTACCATCAGTTGGTTTGTGAATGGGAATGTCTTCAATCTGATTGAATAATGATATACATACTCTAAATATATATTACCATACTGGATAATAAATAATATGTTTATCAACAACTAATACTGGCAGTTAAATACATTCAGAATTAAATAAACAAACAATTTTAGCCAAATTTCAGCAGAAAACAGGAGCATTAACCTTTGATTGAAGCTTGGTGTGACTAAGGGGGGGTCTATATAGGATCATTGTTGACAAAGAACCAGGGTGAGAGATACAGATTGTTTATAAACTTTATTGATGGCCATTATTATTATTTGATCTTAGATGTGACAGCAAAAGTCATCTAAACATGTCAGAGAGCTCCAGTGTAGGCCTGGTCTTTATCTACCATCATGGCTTATCTTAAGATAGCACTTTCTAGAACATCAGTCTCCCATAAACTAACAGCAAAGACATGCCTTAAAAGGACTAATTGCAAACAAACTGCAATACAAACTCAATTCCCTCTGTTAATCTTCTTGTTTTTGGTCTTTTTATGTTTTCCAGTCTTTCTTGGATGCTGATTCCTGGGTAGTTTGGCCAACTGGGGCTTCTGTAGCCTTGGTTTCTCTCCACTGGATTTTATTTTTACAGGTCTGGGTCTCACAGCCACTCTCTCAGTGTTTCCTGGACAGGTAGCGAAGGCAGTGGTGTCCCCCACCTGCTGACCTCTAAGCTCAAGAGGGTGAGAACATGTAGCTGAAACTTCTAGCTTCACACTCTCCATCCACCTGTGGAAAGAGGATAAAAGAAGTTAAAATTATGCTTACATGTATTTGTAGTATTATTTTTGGAGCATTTAAAGATGCTCCAAAAAGAAGGCCCTGCTTTTCAACTGTATCATAATTTTAGTCTGCTTTTTTCATTCACAAAATAGTTCTGTTTTGGGATTAATGTCCTGTTGAAACAGTATACCCTAGAAAATTGGTTACGATGGATTCAAGGGCAACCCAAAACCTCACAGAACCTCAAGACTAATATGAAATGCATGTTCTGACCTGCGAAGGGGCAATAAGGAACAGTCACACAGGAGAGGGTTGTCCTGCATGTCGATCATCTCGAGGCCAGCGAGCGCGCTCAGGTCAGGGAGCTCCTTCAGCTGATTTCCTCTCACAGACAGAACTTTAAGTCCTGGACCCAGGCCCAGCAGGGCCTCCTTTGATATCTAACCGAAGGTAAAAAAAAATGTAGAAATGGATGTAGTTCAGTAAACAGTATCATGGAGAAATCATTCATCAACACTGTCATATCATTGCAATTTAGTACAGTTGTTTTAGAAAGAAAAAAAGCCTTCTACCTTTTCAATCCCCATCTGGTCCATGTAAAGTCTCTTAAGATTCTGCGATATGTTCTGGAATGTCTTGGGTCCGAGCTGGCGGACGACATTACGAGACAGATTCAGGTCCTCCAGATGCTGGGCTTCAGCCAGAGCATCAGTAGGAACCTGGCTCAGCTGGTTGGAGTCCAGGTGAAGCGATTTAATGAGAGAGGAGCTCAGGATACCTCGATCAATAACACTGATGGTGTTGTTGCCCAAGTACAGTTCCATCAGTGTCGGAGCGGCGGAGGAAAGCGGTTCCAGCTTTGAGATGGCATTTCCCTCCAGATGTAAAATAAACAGATTAGGTAATAGTGACAGAGCTGGAGAGAGAAAACAACACAAAACATCAACTTTACTCTAGTTCCTTACATGGATTCAGTTCAAATCTCCAAACTTTTAACCTGACCTGCTCCAGGGAATCGTGTTAGTCGATTACCATCCAAGTGAAGATAGGTGAGCTTTGGAACTCCAGCAAAAGCTTTGGGATCCAAGAATGTGATGTCATTGTGAGAGAGATACAAATAAAGCAGGTTTCTCATTCCCTGGAAGGCCCCGCCTTCGATTTCGCGGATTTTGCAGAACTCCAGATGGAGAGACACAACTTGGCTGGTGCCTGGAAAGCTGCTGGATGGGATGTAATGGAAGTGGTTTCCACGGAGATCGAGCAGCTGAGTCCCGGCGGGGAAGCCCCGTGGGACTTTGCTGTAACCACGGCTCTCACATGTGGCATGATGGGCTTCAGTCTGGGATCGGAGAAAAAGAAAGTTGCAGGCGTCTTAAAGGAATAGTACACCCAAAACATGATTAGCCTTCATTTTCTACTCACCCCCATGCTGAACAA